CCCTCGTTTACTCCTCTCCTTGAAAAGCAAAAGAAAAACTCCCTCATTGGTACACAATCCCCCCCCACATTCCCCACCCCCACCCCAACCCCAAATATAATCCACTGTGCAACCCTCATTCCGTACTCTTATGATAAACATAATGCCCTAAAATATAATACTTTTAAACTTAAAAGGGTGTAATTTTGATGACTGATCTTTCAATTTAAATGCAAGTAAGAGGGAAGTGAAAGCTGGAGTGGGATCGCTGGCTTAGAGATCTAGATGAAGCCCAGAGTTCTAAATTGTTTTAGTGGAATTCAAGAACAAGTGAACTGGGAAGGGAGGAAGGTAGTAGTAATTTAAAAAGTTGTATAGTCAGTGGTGATTTGCTCTGGGGTAAGACAATGAGAATGGGTGACTGAGGAATGTTGTGTTATTATTCCATCCAACATTCATGTGAATGTTGAGGTCTCCAACAGTGGTATCAGGAACAGTACAAAGAGAAAGACAATGAGTCTGATGCTGAGATTTGCCGTTTAGCTGATCCAAAGATACCTAACTATAGCAGCAGATGGCACAAGGAGGCCCTGGGTGGTGCAACTGATTAATGCACTCAATACCTAGCCAACAGGTTGGAGTTTTGAGTCCATCTAGAGATTGCCTAGAAGAAATCCCAACTTTTGAAAAGTCAGCCATTGAAAACTGGAGCACTTTTCTGCCCTTGAAGTTGCTATGTGTTAGAATAAAAAGAGGAACAGAAAGAGTGGAATTGGATCTGCACTTCAGAGCAGAGTCAAGATGACAGTCTAAGAGACAGTAGATAACCAGAAATCCTGGAGTTTCTCATAGACTGTGAAGAAAGTGTCAATAGCCCATAACTAAACTTTAAATAAATGATGGAGCATGACGGGTGAGGAGATCTATTAATGGTGGCAAACTGAGAGAGATCATCATCAAACAGTGGTGTGATGTTTGATGAGATTAGCCCTCTCAGTGTCTTAGAAGATAGTTAAGACTGATCCTGAATATAGTTGGCCCCCAGTTTGTGATGGGGCTTTGTTCTAATGACTCAGTTATAGTTGGCTCTGTAAGTTGTAAGGCAAACACCTCTATTTTTTTAAAAATTATTATTATTTTTTTTTATGTGTGTACCGTCAAATCCGATCTGACAGGTAGGTACAGGAGGAGATTTTTCCTCTTTCTCCAGCAGAGCATCTGGTGAATTTGAACTGCGCACCTCTGGGATTGCAGTGCAGCTTCTTGCCACTAGGCTACCAGAGCTCACCCAACACCTCTATTTTTAAAGTTTTCTTTATTACTTTATTATTTTTTATTAGCACTGTATTTATAAATCTAATTTATTTGTTTTTGGGAGTTGGAAACATTAACATATAAACTCAAAGATAAAATGACATTAATGTTTTAGGTGCTCAACTTTCTATGTAGTACATCTTATTAATAATAAGATGTAAAAAGCAAAATCAGACAGTGCTAAGTATAGTTCTTCATAGCTTGAATACATCACGAATCAGCGACTACCTGTATTCAGCCAGCTGTTTTGGAACCTTTCTGCAGCTCTTCTCCCTTTTGTATTGGGGCTAGGAAGTTAGAGCCAGAGATTTTTGTTGTTAGGTGCCTTTGAGTTAACGACAATTCATAGTGACTCTGTGAACAACAGATCTGAGCCCTGCCCTATCGTGTGCCAGCCTCATGATCTCTGATACACCAAGCCTACTACGGCACCTGTGTCAGTCTATCTTGTTGAGGGTCTTCCCTTCTTTCTCTGACTCTCTACCTTTCCCAGCTTGATATCTTTTTCAGGGATCTAGTTCCTCCTGACAACATGCCCAGAGTGTGTGTGACGTAGCTTCATCATCTCAGCTTCTGCGGAGCATCCTGGCTGCACTTCCTCCAAGATAGATAAAAGCCATTTTGTATGTCATTTTTCATTATTGACAGTACTTTGTAAGTTAATAGAATCTGAGTGTCAGGCACCTCTCACTTTTGCTTTGAGTTACAGTTGAAAACTGAAGTTTCGTCTTAGATCTTTTAAAAGTTTTGAACGACTTTTGGAATAATCTCTTTACATAATATGTATTCAGTGATTGTAACAGAAAGTATACCTGAGAGCACCCTTCCTTGTGTCAGTAATGTATTTTAAATTATCGTAGATTGAGAAAAGAAAGAGATGAAGAGCGGATTAAAAAATTTGTGCAAGAAGAGGCTGTCAAATTCCTTTGGAACCAGGTAAGCTGCTCTTACTTACTGACCTCATGCATAAATAAAGATAAATTCTAAATTTATTGAGATAGTCATAGAGGTAGAGTATATTTAACAACATCCTCAAGATGAAGATATGGGTTTTTTCTGTTTTGTTTTTTTTTTTACCAACTCTGAACTAAGATAGTGAAGTACAGTTAAGTTAATCTGGAGGAAAATATTTTCATAATTTTAGGAAGAAAGAGAAAGTATAAAAAAGCTGTAGGAAAGTGGAAAAAAGTTGAAGTGAGAAATGTTGCTGTAACTTCCTAATTTAAATAACACCTCTGAGTAGTTATCTGGTTTCTTCTTATCAACCATCATTTTGGAAATATTTGATGAGCAGTAACAAAGATAGTTATGATGGCTACGGTATGCATGTCCTAAAAATGCATAATTGCTTGGGAGAGAGGGCTTGAATCTTTTAATAGCACACTTTAGGGGACAGTTCACATGTTTGCTTTTGTTACTATTTAATTACATTAGACTCTGCTAATAATAATAATATCTGGGAACTGTTGTTACAAAATAATTTGTAAGGATTTGGCCCACAAAAAAAATGCTTGGAAAAAAGGAAGTTATATTCTCAAGAACTTGGCATATTTTTAGATATTTTAGAGAATTGCTTTTACTATCCCTATGTGGATATCTAAAATGTAACATCTTTAGTTTCTCTTTCAGTCTGTGATTTATTTAAATATAACAGTAGGAGCTAATTACATTTATGTGTGTATCTGTATGTGGGTTAGGGAGCTCTGGTGGCTTAGTATTAGGAAGCTGCTTTGCAAGTTGCAATTCCAAAAGCGTGGGGTTCGAGGCCACCAGCTGCTCCACTGCCTCTGAAAACATGCCAGAGGGTCAGCTCTATGGTACACAACACAAAAATAACATGTGGGTTAAGCTGTTTACAGCTGTGCTCTATATGTGTTGTTGTTATGTGCCATCGAGTCGCTTGTGACTCATACCGACCCTATGTACAACAGCCCTAAACCCTGCTCTATCATGGGCCAGTCGCACTGCCTCTGACACACCCATCCCGATTACCCCAGTCACTGAATCAATCCACCTCATAGAGGGTCTTCCTCTCCTGCGCTGTCCCTCCACCCTCCCAAGCATGATGTCCCTCTCCAAGGACTTGTCCTCCTTACAACATGTCCAAAGTATGTTAGA